CAAAATTCAAAAATTTCCTACCAACTGAAAATATTAGGTGTGTCCCGCGCGCTCATATGACCTTATGCAGTTGCGAGCGCCGTAAAACACTTTACAAAAAAAAGAAAAAAAAGAAAACGAAAACAAAACAAACGTGGGAGAAGTATCCATAGTCGATGTTTGTAAGTTGCTCCATTGCGGTTATCATTCATTTAACTTGAAAAGAAGCATAAAGTATATTAATTTGGTAGGATTCTTTCATTAGTTTTCCCATGCCCTTCTAACGCAGTTATCGTATCCTCCACTTCTATTAATGCTTCTTTTCTCCGTGTTTTACTGCCTAGTAACGCATACTAAACTTCGGCATACATGTATATATATAACATTATTTGTGTTGCAAATGCGTTTAAAAAACTCTTTGTAAAAGTGAGTGCCTGGGAATAACATCCCTATCAACACTATTAGGTTAATTAAAAGAAACGCCACCTACGATTTTAACTTCCGTCTAAGATAGGACATAGCGTATTTGTTTGAGAGCACAGAGCCTTGAAAAGAGAGCAAAACGACCCAAGTTCAAAATGCCCAGTCTGGGATTCGAACCAAATCAATTCGCTTTGTAGTTCAGCACGATACCAACACAGCTTACACAGCACCCTAAAACTCTTTCTGAAACTAAAAACTAGACCAAAGGGCACACCAGAAATCATTCTTCTCATCCCCATTTCGTGTTCATTCATTACTCACCTTCTTCCTCGTTACGTAATCGTATGCTGCACTTCGGTTTCCTGAACCGCAGCTCTGGTCAATTATGTCACAGGCATGAGAAGTGGGCAATTTAAGGTGGAGCTCTGGCCACATCAAGCCTCGTAATCAACTCCTCTTACTGCTCCACTCTACTCTTCATAATCTCTTTGGCAAGGTCATGAAGCAAGTTTAGCAGTACAGGGGCGAAGTGTAAAACAATTAAAGGGATTGAAAAGGACGACTAAATGACATTGAGCTTTGTGTGGGCCAGTGAGAGCATAGATTGACCCACAGATGATCCCCTGCCCTCCATATTTTCCCGCCTGCCCCACCCCTT